ACAATTAATATCCTAATTATCTATATTTGATTTATCCAAGACTAGCATTTAGCTATCCAAATCCATTCCTAGATAACATCATGGACGATTTTGAGCTATCCTTTAGCTCCTAGGATTCGTCCAATCCATATCTATATGGATTTACAGTCTCAAGTTTAACTATCAAACAATTGATAGTTTACACCCTCTTATTTAATTAATCTCTTTAAGTCACCAAATTAATATTAATTAATCTATGACTTATATTAATCAAATAACTATATATTATTCCTTATAATATTTACTCTCTCTTAACAAATCATCCCATCAAGTTGCTATGGTGAAGACAACCCAAAAGGACCATGCACAACCGGGTCAAATATTTGCCTAATATAGTTGCAGCCTTAGACACTATTCCAACAGTTAATACATTAATGCCGCTTTGTATCGGGCTGTTAGGGGAGAGTATTCAGGATTCCAGAAGAATGAAAAAATGATTTGTTTTATAGAAAATGTTCAAAATATATTTGAAATTGTTTTTAGTTCGATGTTTTTTTATAAAAATTTCAAAGAAAAAAAAGTATTTTTACCATTCTAAACTACAAGTAAGTTAAAAAACTAAGAAAATATTGTTTTCCATAGTTTTATGACTTCAAAAGTTTTCTAAACTATGAGTTGTATTGTATTATTTGAAATAACAAAAAATAAAAACCAGTAGAAAATACTCCTCAATCATCTTTTACTCAAAAAACAAAAGAAAAGGAGAAAGTATTTGAATCTATTGATATTAGACTTTGCATGCATGTGAAGACGATAACGTTTAATCATTGTTTTAAGAACCGGTTTGACCATCTGATCGAACCGTTTGGATTGGGAACTGAACAAGAGAACGATTCAACTAGCAACGGTTTTATGCTTATTTTTTACCGGAACGAACTGATCGGTTTTTACAAAAACTCAATTGAACCCGTTAAAAATTAACTTGTTGAATTGGTTAATGTGAATAAAAACAAATGAAAATAAAATATTTTTCATAACAAATTTTGCTGGTCTTTTTCACATCTAATTATATTTCTTTAAATAAAAACACATATAAATATTATAAACTTTTTTAATACGTTTGTATTCATCTAAACTATATTTTCTTTTGGTATTATATTTTATTTTATTTTTTATGTATGTAGATTAATATAAAACATATGGTTATATGTTTTTTCTAATGTATTTGAATTGATATAGAGTTTATTTTATATGTATTTTTAATGTATGGACCTATCCACATCAAATTTTGATTTATATATTTATGTAGTATTTATGTATAGGAAAATAGGAAAAAACATGAAAATAATAAACATCAGTTGATCTGAATGTTGAATCGGAAACCATTCATCGTACCAGTTCAACTAAAAAATGAATTTTAAAACATTGCTTTTAATTCCATTGAATTGAATATTACACCAAAGAATATTGGCCATATGCGGTTTTCCAATTTATTTATTTATTTATTATTTATTATATTTATTTTTTGATGTTCTAGATAAAAACATGGTTTTCCAGGAAATGATATATTTTGGAGTAGCAATTTAAAATTTTCAATCTATTATGGCCACATTAAAAAAAAGGAAAATCAGCAATGAGCGTGTTTGACACGGAGTTTTTGGAAGTGTTTGGGGGTTTCTAACTTTTAGCTTTTAATAAAACGCTCTAGTTTAAACAAAAAGTTTCGTTTGGCAGTACGAGCGTTTAACTTTTAGTTTTAACAAAACGATCCGATTCTAAAAGCTACTTCATGTAGCGTTTAACAAAACGCTCCCGAGCTTTTGAAATCAATTTCCATAATTACCCTTAAAAATATATTTATATATTTATTTATTTTTAATCAATTGTCATTTTATGTAATTTTGTATATTTCAAAAGCTTCCAGCTACTTTTGCCAAACATTCATATAACAAATAAAAGTTACCGCTTCTCGCTACCAGCTACATGCTACATGCTACCAGCTACCCGCTACCCGTTTCCAGCTAACAGATACTTTTGCCAAACACGCCCTATGACTAAAGTAGCGGTGAGCCAGCGAATCTTTTGGATGGAGTCTATTTTGGTATTTTTTCAATTTTAATCTGTTACAAAAAACATTTCTTCTTTATGTTATATGTTCATCTAACTTTTGTCATTTTTACAAAAACAACAATTTTTAAAAATTAATTATTACTCAAGAAAAACTAAAAGTATAGTTTTCTTTGGATTCTTTTTTTAATATGAAAGATGATGAATTCTTATGTCTATAAATATAAAAATACCAAAACTATTATATTATACTTAAAACTTTAAAATTTAATATCAAACATTAAAATTAAATATTATTTAATAATTATTAAAAAAAATTAATTAATTAATTAATTAATTATAGTTAATAATAAAAATTTAAAATGTAACTATAATTAAAATTTAAACAGTAATATCAACTATAATAATGAAGATCGATTTTGTTACATGTCAATCTCTCATGAGTTTTGACATTTGTTATTTTATGAAATTTTTTGAAATAAATAATATTCACATGTCAATTTCAAGGTTTTTCTAATTTTTAAAATTAAAGAGCCACAAAATACTTATATATTTTTACTAGGTGTGAAATCCGTATATTATACGGGTTTGATAAAACAAAAATTAAATATAAAAGTTTCAACAAAATTTTATTTAAATTTGAAATTTTAGATTTGAAATTTAAAATTAAAATTTGAATTTAAAAAGAACATATTAAATACTATATTAGTATTAATATTTTAATTTATTGGTTATTTTCAATTAAGGTAATTATCAATTGATGTGTAAATATGATGTGTTAATTAAGAAAATATTAAAAAAAAAAGAAATTAACAAATGGAAAGAATATTTAATAAAAAAATATCAAAAAATAACATGTATCCAAATTAATTAGAGAGTGACATATGAGAAAATTATTTTCATTTATTGGGAGGATATGTAAAACATTAAATATAATAAATATGATAGTAGTTGTAATTAATACGTTCTTTTTTTCTATATTTCAAAATTTTATTTAAAAAAAATTTAATGTTACAGTTTAATATTTAACTTTTTTTAATTAACTTTTTTTAATTAATACATATAATATATTTAAAAGATTATTTAATTTATATGATTGAATGACTCGAACAAAAAATATATTATTTTTTATATTATGACAATCTAATTTTAAATTCGATTTAAATATTTTGCCTTTCAACAAACTTGAATGCTTATAAAATAAAACTAATAACATCTTAAAAAATTATCCTTCAGTGCATTTATTCAACGAGCAACGTGTTCATTTTGCAAGCAACCAATTGGGTTTAACTCTATCGATATTATCTAGAAGAACCAGCACATACAAGATAAAACTTCAAACAGATCATTTTACAACAATAATGGCGAACTCAATTGCAGAGCTCATCTTCATCCCTGCACCAGGGGTCGGTCATATCATGTCCACAATTGAGATCGCAAAACTGCTAGTGACTCGCGACCACCAGCTCACTATTACCGTCCTCGTCATTAACCCGCCGCCCACCTTCGGCTCCGGCTCCGCCATCACCACCTACATCCAATCATTAGCAAACACCACCATGGATCGTATCTCCTTCATCGAACTCCCTCAAGACAAAACCCCACAAGACTCAAAAGCTCCCATGGCCGCCTTCACTGATTTTATCAACAGTCACTGCAAACACGTAAGAAAAATTGTCGCCGACAAGATGAGTCAACCGGATTCAGTACAGATCGCTGGGTTCGTCGTCGACATGTTCTGCACCGGGATGATAGATGTGGCAAACGAGTTTAATGTTCCGACATATGTGTTCTTCACTTCTAATGCTGCTTTTCTTGGATTTAAGTTGTACATCCAGACACTCTCTGATGATAAGAATCAAGACGTTGTCGAGTTAAGCAACTCAGATTCCACCATTTCCGTTCCAAGTTTTGTCAAACCAGTGCCCACAAAGGTGTTTCCGACCATATGCCAGAGTCAAGAAGGACTGGAATTTGTTTTGGGATCTGCCCGGAAACTGAGAGAGGCGAAAGCAATCATTGTCAATACATTCTTGGAATTGGAAACACACGCTATCGATTCATTATCGAAAGACAACACCATTCCGATGGTGTATCCGGTGGGCCCTATACTCAACTTAGAAGCCGGTGCCGGAAAATCGTCGAGTGATGATGATGATATCATCACCTGGTTAGACACTCAACCACCTTCCTCGGTGGTGTTCCTTTGTTTTGGGAGCATGGGAAGTTTTGACGAGGTTCAAGTTAAAGAGATAGCAAACGGTTTAGAGCGAAGTGGCCACCGTTTCCTGTGGTCGCTACGCCGACCTCCGTCGGATCAAACAACAAGAGCGCCGAGTGATTACGAGGACCCAGGAACAGTATTGCCGGAAGGATTCCTAGAACGGACTGCCGGAATCGGAAAAGTAACGGGGTGGGTCCCGCAGGTGGCTGTGTTGGCTCATGATGCAGTCGGAGGATTTGTGTCTCACTGCGGGTGGAACTCGTTGTTGGAGAGCTTGTGGTTTGGTGTACCATCGGCGGCGTGGCCAATCTACGCGGAGCAGCAGATTAATGCTTTTGAAATGGTGGTGGAGCTTGGGTTGGCGGTGGAGATTAAGTTGGACTATAAGAAGGATTTTTTTAATCCGAAGGCTGATAAAGTCACGGCGGAGGAGATTGAAAGTGGGGTAAGACGATTGATGGAGGATAACAAGGTGAGGACAAAGGTTAAAGAAATGAGGGAGAAGAGCAGAGCAGCGGTGGTGGAGGGAGGTTCGTCGTATGCTTCTGTAGGGCGTCTTATTCTGGACATCAAACGAAACATCTTATGAATTGCTTAGTTGTAACTTGTGTGCCTGTGTTGTACCCAAGTTTGGTGAGAACAGAGGTTAAAGATATTGGTTTCCAAAGTGTTTAGAGTGGGAGACTTAGAAGTGAAAAGAGAAAATAATTATGACGTTTGACTGCATACCATGTGGATCGAAAGGGCGGGAGGGATGAACTCTTTCAGCCGTAAAGATCTTAAATTCATTTTCAAAGTGTTGATGCAAGAAGGTGAGCTACAATGCTACATATTCTTAACTAATGATAATTTTTAAAGAATCCTTCTTAATCTTATCTTATCTTAATCTTAACTTATCTTAATCTCATCTTATCATATCTTAATCTTAATAAGATAATAGTTACTCTATCTCATGTCTCATTTTTCTTTCTCCTATTCTTTAAAAATGACATATGTAGTTTACTATGATTTTATTTTCATTTTCAAATGTAAATAAAATCATGTTGATTAACATTTAAGAACAAATCAAATTCATAATCCCTAATTACTTTGGGATTAATTGTAATCCTTTAAAATCCATCTTATATTCTTAATTGGTAAAAACAATTCAGAAAATAATACCATAAAATTCGTGATCATTCGATAATGTTCATCCACTTTTGTTACTCTCCGTAAAATCAAAATCAAAATCAAAATTCAAACCCTTCCTAAAATCATGGCCGTAATTTGTGCACCGATTATCCATCAATATTGGCAACATGTCAAGATAATGGATTGATTTGTATTTTTTCTAAGCATATATTGATTGAAACCTAATGGCTTCATTTTCTCGATCAATTGGTTAAGCATGTTTGAATCCACAAAGGTTTGAAGAATTTGATCCCTTCTTGACTCTTCATGTTGTTTTGCTCCTTGATTAACTTGTCTTTTCTTTCTTGTTATCGGTTACGATTTTTCACAGTAAACAAGGGTTGCTTTGGTTCGATGAAGATGGACACAAATTGGACCAACTTTACTCACCATTGTTTATCCTTACCAACGTCACACCCCACATCACTCACTACCGTCACATCCTTGCTCAACGGAAACTTGATACACCGTCTTTCTTCCCGCATTACCACAGCTGTCACATCTTATGTTCTTAGAGGGTGTTTGGCATTGATTTTCAAATGATTTTTGGACTTTTGACTTTTTCAAAAAGTTAAAAATTTTAAAAATTATTTGATAACTTCAAAAATTATTTTAAATTAATTTTTTGATAAAAAGAAAAATATGATGTTTAAAAAAACATAAATTTGTGACTTTTAGTAATTTTGGTTTTTTCTCCTTTATACCCTCAAAAGTTTATACAAACAAATAAATCAAAAAGTCATTTTTCTAAAAATAACTTTTGTTTAAAACAATGTTATATATTTTGGGGGTCTTGACACTTTGATTTAATTTCCACAGGGTAAAGGGCTAAAGAATTAAGGTAAAAATCGTAGACACTTTTTCTCCCTTTACCTAATCAAGAAATCCACTAATCAAGAAATCCATCGCACCCTCAAAAATAGTAAGAAACTCATGCATAGCATCAATTATTATTAACAGGTTTGCACTTAGCCACTTAGCCCTTTTGGTTTTCTTTAACAAAAATTACTTCAACTATTATTTATTATTATTTTTAATGGCTTATTTTTGTGTAGTGCAACGATGGTTAAGGGTAGCTTTAAGTACTTAGATTCCCTTGTTCAGAGAAGTGTTGTGCTAATGTTCTAATGCTTTATGATGTATGTGAAAAGGTTTCGTTTTTTTTTCTTTGGTTTACTATGGTTAAATTGAACATCGTTGTTTTCCAATTTAAGATCGAATTCAAGGCTTGGTAAAAGAATTATTGAGGAAAGATAGATGTTGATGATTATGGAGAAATTGGTTGTCTCGACCTTGAATTTTTGAAGTCATGGAGAGAAAAAAAACTTATGTTCACCTATTAGTGAATACAATCAGGGAAACTTTGGGAACTTAAATTCCATAAGGTTGGAACAGACTTCATTTAAATAATTGAATTATAACTCCTTTCTGTGAGGATTCTACAGTTACCCAAGTAAAGTAAGAATGAGCAGCACTTACGTAACCATCAACCCTTCAAAACGTTTAATATTAATGGAAACTAAAGCATACCCAAAGGAAATAAACTACATCAGTTGATCACTATCACACAACAATGTCAATCACATTTCAGTTGTTGCAATGAGATAAGAGATATTTTGAAAAGTTATTGATACGAGGAGTAGAAGAGCTGATTTCTTGACAAAGAAGTGGAATTTGAGGATAGGCTCTTCACTCTACAAGGTTGTTAGTGATGCTCATTTATTGAAGGGTCTAAAAATCTCCTTAAACTACAAGGTGGAGGACCAAATCTGTAATTTGATATGTAGTGATACTTGGGTTGTTGGAGATCTGGGATACAGGTGGACAGTTGGAGTTGCTTTTTATTGTGGTGCAAATTGTTGTGTTCTTATGTATGATTTGAATGTTACGAAGTCATTTGATGATCTCAACAACTTGAGGGAGGATTCGTTATTTAGGTATATGCTAACATGGGAATAACATTTTTGAGTTCAAAAATTTTAAATGTAAAAATTATAAAGAAATATACCTGGGTGGTAGATTACAAATCAATATAAACGACAAGTTTACATATAAAAAAGTAAATTTTAGTTCATTTCTATGTGCAAATCATTGTGTCAAGTTGATATCTTTTCTGTTAGCTTGTACTCATTTTCTACCATTCACATAGAACTTTTTAGTAATGGTGTGAGTAGATAAATAGTTGTTTTAATACAATATCATTTAAGAGAGATATATAATAATGGAAATACAATTTAAAATAGGGTTATTTTCATAAAAACCCAACAATGTTTTGTGTTTGGTTTTAAAAAGTTCTTAAACTAATTTTTGTTCCTTCTAAACCATTAAAGTGAGAAATGACTTGTTGAAAATGGGAAATTCAAAATTTTCATCCAGTTAGCAGGTTAGTTTGTACTGTCAACTTACATGACATAGACAAATATAGCCACATAGACACCAATGGTCGACGTGGCATATATAGTAATTTATTTTTGCTATTTTTCAAAGGGGAGGGACCACTACCGCTAAATATTAGAACATGAGGTTGGGAGCTAAAAGTTTGACAATGATATTCTCATGTATCTACTCAATCCCTCACTTTCGTTATCCTTCACACTTACGAATTCTTCCATGGCGCATGATAGGTTGTGAAAGAGAAGGTCGGTGCGTGATCTGAAAAATTAGTCCGATGGTAGAAGAGATGCTTACTTGCAACACCTGTGTTATTCCTTGGCACCTCAACTATTGTTACATCCCGAATTCAGGTTCGTCTCTTAAACCCTTCTCCTTTTTCTAAGTTGTCAAGTTAAACCCCAAAAATGAAATGTTAAGGCAAATGAGTACGCTGGGCGTACTGAGGAGTACGATGTGCGTACTCGCGCGCTTAAGTTGGACACAGACTCGCCTAGGTACGTTGGGCGAACTCAGGGTTACGTTGGGCGTAGCGGGCCCAGATGTAAACCTTAATTTGTGACTTGTGCACTATAAAAGGAATGCTAAGGCCTTATCCTCAGCTACCATTTCAAAGAGTGAAACCCTAATAGAGAGTCATCCTTCGTTCTAGCTTGTGTGTTTGTGTTCTAAGCTTCAAAGTGTTATTTCAAGGTGGTGAAAGAGAAGAGGAGGCCATTTTGCGATATAGAAGTTGGTGGACAAGAGTAGATCCGAGTTTGTCAGAGGTTGGAGCTTCTTTCTGAGGTAAAAAGCTCAAAACTTTCCTTATCATTTGTGATTTGTGCTTCTTGGACCAATTTCTAGGGTTTTTGGTCCCAAGGTGGAGACTTTATAAGCAAATGGTCTCCATTGGCCTAGATCTACCATATTTCAGGATTATAAGAGTTGTATGTTCATAAAAATACAATCTTCGACGTGAATATTGAGTCATGCATGAGATCTAGACCTTTTGAGGAAGAAGGAAAGGTGTTAGAGTGATTAGGGACCTTTACAGCCATGCAAAGGCTTAAAGGTTGCGACTTTATGGAATAAGAGGCTTAAGGAAACTCAGATCTAAAAGTTGAATGTGTGTCTTAACCGTTTAAGACCAAAATCCAAGAAAAGGCTGAAAATGAGACTTACGTTGGGCGTAACTCTCAGTACGCACAACGTAAGGGGTTGAGACCCCGATTATGGTTCCTCGGTGTACACCCCGCGTACAGAGAAGGTACGCGCCGCGTACTGCCTCCTTTTGACTTTTGTTGACTTTTAGGGTTTTGGTCAACCATTAGACTTTTGGGTTAGGGAGGGGTAAAATGGTCTTTTACCCTTCTATGGGATTGTAGGAGTGGATTTAATCTAGCCTTTGAGAGCCATTATTTATTTGAGAGTGCTATTTATGTGATTAGGCAGGAGCTAGATCAGTGTGTTCGTGTGTGAGATTATCTAAGATACACGAGGTGAGTATTCTCCCTATACATTACCTAGAATGGTATTTATGTGTAGACCGAAGGGTCTTGTATGCTATGTGTATGTATGAGATTATGAGCATTTTGTTGTATGTATGCCATCTGTTGTATAAACCGGACCGGTGGGTCCAACGATATAGACCAGACCGAAGGGTCCAAAGATACAGACTGGACCGAAGGGTCCAACGAGCTATGACCGGACCAGAGGGTCCAACGAGCTATGGGACTGGAGGGTCCCGCTGAGACACATCGACTGTAGGGTCATACAGTAGCCTCGAATGGTGTATGTGTTGTATGTGGTATTTTGGGGAACTCACTAAGCCTTTGTGCTTACAGTGTTTGTGTTATGTGTTTCAGGTACCACCATACCAGTGAGGATCGCAGGAAGGCACCGGCATGATCAGTACACACTACTGGAGTTTCATACATTTGATCTTGGGATGTGATTTTATGGATTTGTTATGTGATACATTGAGAATTGAGAATCTTTATGAATGAAATTACATTATTAAAAAGTGAAAAATTGTTTTAAAATTTACGTTGTTACAACTATCTATATGTTTGTCTATAAATCCTAGCTGATGTTGCCTAATGGGAGTGTATATACTGCTCAACTATCATCACATCCAACCCCACCCGCCTTCATCCATGGTCACATCGGGATCTAAACCATTAATTTTTCTTATTCAAGCTATCCCACTATCGAATATGATATATCGCTCTCTCACCAAAACAAGGCCAAGAGATAAACTTGGTGGTGGATGAGGTAAGTAGATCATAAACGCCACAGGGACAATTTTTGTGAGTTTAATGCTTAGTGAAATCGCAAAAGGAAACACATTGATAAACTCATCAGTGCATCAAAGGTAAAAGAACAAATCATGAAGAAATCAATCTTCTCAATCACGATTGGATCTAACAATTTCATTAACAATTATTTGCTTCAAGTTCTCGCTATTGGAGCTAACGTTTCACAAACCCTCGATTCTTTTGTCGATCATCACCTTAGTCACCTTCAAGCCCACAAGCTACACTCACCCATTACTCACACACACACACATTGTATTTTATTGGAAGGCGTTGGTCATTAATTGTTGGCAATGGAGATGCATGTGAGAAAGAAACACTACTGAAGGGAGGGTGTAGCCATGGGAGACAGAGGATGCGTAACCCTAATTTCTTCCCCCTCCTTCCTTCAACAAAAGCTTAAATTGACAACCACTAGAGATGGAATGAGATGGTTGGTCCTAGTGGGGAATACAATGAAGATGTCAATGATCGATTACAAATAATGATAGAGATGATGGAGGGGCTATGAGACGACCATCAATTTCTAGGCTTAGAGGAAGACGGAGGAGATGACTTCGGTTGAAAAACCCATGACTACATAAGTATCATAGATAGCCATATGAAGGTAAAGGATAGTGGTTTGTCTTACATGTAGGATCCATGTAGAATAATATATGACATGTCATCTAAGTTTTGATTGAATTTACATGGTAAGCGAGAACAAGAGGTTATCTTCCCCTTAATAACAGGTTATTTTTGAGTTTATACATTTAAAAGGAACAAAATTAAGAACTTTTTAAGACCAAACATAAAATCTTGTTGGGTTTTAATGACAATAATCATTTAAAATATAATGTTTACTTATTAGTTAAATAACAAATATATTAAAATTATGAATGTTATCATATGTTAAAAGTTTATAACGAGACAAACAATATGTTATTTATTTATTTATTTTATTTTTGATAAATAAGTCTACCACATTAACTTTTAAATAATCATTGTCTAAATATGTGTCTTAAACTAAAACTCTAAAAGTAACTAAAAAGGCCTATTTACATATTATTAAAAAAACATTTATTTCTTTCCTTGCTTTCTCATGTTTAAGGAAAAACAAGGCGATTGGTTAAAAATTTAACACATATTCTTAACTAATCATTGTCCAAAACTCCAAATATGTGTCTTAAACTAAAACTCTAAAAAGTAACTAAAAAGGCCTATTTACATATTATTAAAAAAAACATTTATTTATTTCCTTGCTTTCTCATGTTTAAGGAAAAAGATGGCGATTGATTAAAAATTTAACAAGCATGCTCCTTTATATTTATTTACATATTAACTAAAAAAAACTAAAAACCCTTCTATATTTTATTCCTACTACTAGGTGTGAGACTTATGTATTAAATGAGTTTATTTAAAAAAAACTGAATTATAAAAATTAACGTGTTTTTTTTTTCTCTTTTAAATTTAAACAAACAATTTAAATAAATGAATAAAGAAATTAATGAATCTTTAATTTAGTAATATTGAAATTAAAATGAAAATTCATTAATGAAATTGATATACATTTATTATTCTATTTAAATACTATCTATAATTTAATAAAATGAAAAAACTATAAAATGATATGTAGAATAAAAATTAATTTAAAATTACCACAAAATTACATGTGCAAAATAAATTAGAATGTGACATGTGGTAAAAAGATCTTTATTTATCAGGGATAATCTTTCTATCCACATTAAATGGTAACAAATGAACTAAAATATTATCATTTTCATTAAATGTCTCATTAAATCTTACACATATCAACATTTAATATGAACATCTAATATGGCAGGAGGATAAATACGAATAAATTATAGGAAATATTTAATTTCTCTAAAAATAATAATGATTGATTTACACACAAAACACCAAAGTATATATAAAAATAACTATTTGTAAATGTATGATTAATGATTACGATTTTTATAGTCACTATGTTGTTTTACAATATCATTATTTTCTTCATTAATTTACAAATAAAAACCATTTCATATATCTTGAAAAAATAATTTCACATATATATTTGAATCAACGATTATAATTTTATATAAATACAAAAAATATAAATCTCATAATTAACAATCTATTGAAAATAATTGATTAATAATTATGATTTTTTACTATAAAAATTTATTTATTTTTATAACCGTGATTCTTACTAGCTATAATCTAATGATATACATGATATCGATAAAACTGATTTAAATTGAACAGTTACAAACCCCAAAGCAATACAAAATAACCTTTTAAAAACCTTGTTCTAGAAAACAAATTTGAAAGTTCAATAACTGCAAAAGGTGGCAAAGTTTATTTTTTTTCTTAGAGTAAATTACATAAATGGTGGTTGTGGTTTTGTGAAATAAACAACTTTGTACAAACTTTTTTCTTCCACTAAATCGGTGGTTTCTATGGTTTTTTCAAAACTTTAACAAATGACAACTTTATTATGTTTTTCTTATTATCTTTTTCTCTTTTTTAAAAGTTATTTTATGTTTTTTATCCATTAATATATTAATTTTAATGAGTTAATAATAAATAGCAATCCAAATTTAAGACATGAACACGGATGAATGGAAAATAGAAATCAAAACACAATTGCGAACCCTAGATTATCGCTACTCCTACATCTACCGACAACCATAACAATTGTTGTAACAGTCATGGGTTGTAACAGTCAATCACATTTGTTTCTTCCAACTTTCAAAAATTGGACAATGGTCTATGGAAATATGATTTAAATGTCAAAAGGGAAGATTAAAGCTGTAATTTTCAGCAATGGCTACCTTTTTTTTTTCCAGAACAAATGGGTTAAGAAGAAAACAAAAATAGGTATTTGGAGTAAAATGAACATCAAAACAAAATTCTTCAATTTTGTTTTCAATTAAAGTTATAACCTGACATTCTGTCTTTTAA